GCATTGCTAACAAAATAGCAACTAGCCCTTACCTCTACTCTTACCATTACAAGCAAAAGGAGAGTTCAACAAAATGTGCACATAGTGAAGTTACATTTACGTCCAGAAGCAAAACAAGGGGCTATCTCTGCATTTGCACAATGGATCATGGAAACTGAACAAAAATCTGATCGACTAAAGCTAAAGTACATTATTTGTTACAAACATAAAGTGTTTTTAAAACATATATACAATACAAATGGAAACTAATTCATTATATATCACTGTTTTGTTAAAATAAACATTATTTTTCTTTTTGATTATCAGTATAGTCTCTAATTGTATAGAAATAGTTACGCAGCAGAAAAGATTTTACTTTTAACTTAATTTGTGAACCGACTTCAGTTGTTTAATGTCATCGGGCAGTGCGTTGTAAAGTAACGTACATGTATTGCATATGGATTTCTGATAGTGAGCTGTAGATACTGACACTTGATGAACGTGATTTGTACGACGTGTGTTGTAATTATAAATATCAGTATTGCATGAAAATATGTTCCCATCGTTAAGTAAGTCACTTTCGACAAATATTACAGATTCGTAAATATATAGGCAAGGCAGAGGTAAGATTCCAAGATCAATGAAGAGAGACTTGCGATTAACGCGGATGGCATCTTTTCATTATTAGAATAATTTTCTTTTGCAATCAAAAGGTTTGAGTACTACATGATGAGTTTCTCCACAATTTTATATCATATCTCAGGCGGGAATGTACATTTGCAAAATACACGCAACGAGCTGCATGAAGGCTGACAGAATTTGATAGAATTCTGAATGCGTATCAAAATGAACTTAATTTAGTGTTTAATTTTGTTATGTGTACATTCCATTTGAGGTTTGACTGTATTAACAGACCTGGAAACTGTTACCTGATTTTCACCTAATTACACATTATTCATTTTCAATGGAGCATGCGATTGCTGATTTGAAATCCAAAATGGATTGAAACTGTTTTTCCTTAATTAACTATTAATTTGTTATTAAAAAAAATTTGAAAGTCTAAAATCTAACTTTTTTTTGGGGGGGGGCAAAGAAAATTTGTGTCATCGGCAAACAACCGTTCTTCCGTTTTTAATAGACAACGGCGTCTCTTTTACGTATAACAGAAAGAGGATGGGACCTAAGATGGAGCCTTGCAGAACCCCATATTTATTTTGGTAAATAATTGGAAAGATAAGGAAATAATGTCCTTTCGTGCCAGTACGGTATTTCTACTCTTTGAAATGATATTTAAGGTACGAGGTTATCCAATCTAGGGCGACACCACGAATTCCATAACTAGGTAATTTTGATAGCAAGATGTTATGGTCAATAACGTCAAAAGCTTTCGAAAGATCTAAAAATATTCCAATGGGTGCTTCATTTTGGTCCATTGATGAAGCAATATCTTCAAGAAAAGAAAAATTGGCAGTTTCCTTAGATTTTGATTTTCTAAACCCGTGTTGTGGGACTGAAAACGCTTCGTTTTTCCTGAGAAAAGTTTCCATTCGCGTATGTAAAGCCTCTCTAATATTTTAGAGAAACCTGACAAAAAAGAAATTGGTCAGTAATTTTGAATTTCATTTTTGCACTCTTTTTTAAAAAGTAGCTTAATTTTTGCTGTTTTGAAAATATTTGGAAATATTCCTGTTCATAAAGCATTGAAAATGTGAGTTAATGGGTGTATAAAGGCAGGTACATAGGTTTTCAATCAATAATGCGGAAATTCATCTAAACCACATATTTATTTTTTAGTTTACTGACTATTCGTAAGATTTCATTAGAAGTTTCGGAAATAAAAATAGAGTCGAAAATTTTTTGTGAAGGTAATGATATTGAATTTGACGGTTTAGTCCCTTCGTGAGTTCAGCCGCAATTCTAGAAAAGTGTTGGTTGAAGAGATTTGCCACTTTTTCCGGACTACTGGCTTCTCCTTCATTATCCTTTAAAACACCATTCTCTACTAAGTAACGAGATGAAGTGGTCGTCTTTTTTACAGCTTGTGAACAACGCTACCGACTAAACTAGTCAGCCGATGTTCTCCAAAATTTATATTTCTCCATCGATCTGACTGATATCGCCGCCCCTTGAATTTGAAACCGATATTTTATTTTTGGGTAATAGTTAACATGAAGCCCCTGAAACACTTTCAAAAAATTAGCTCCAATTTTTTTGATTAAATTTAGATGTTGGATAGTGTAATAGACGTTGAAGATCATGGTGCAGGTCTCATTTTCGTTGAAAACTCTCATATTTCGAAAACTGTATCAGTTCAAAAAAATCGTCATCTTTCTACAATTAAGATATTAAATATAGAGATTTTTTCCTTAATAAAATCTGTTCATTAAAGATAGATTTTGAAATAAGCTCATGTACGATTTTTCGAAAATTTGAGAGTTTGCGTAATTTTTAATTCTTTATAAACATTTTTTACTCAAAAACGGCTTCATTGTTTTTGATGAAATTTTATTGGCGCGTAATCTGAAGAACGTTTAAGAGAATGGTGCAAGTCTTATGCTGGTTGAAAACCCTGATTTTTCAACAATTGAAAATTTTTCGTTACAATTACAATTTCAACAATTAAAAAAAATAGTAGAAATTGGTAATTATATTTTTTATGTGGAAGATGCAATGTTTCTCTTAATGAAATGTGATCAAAAACAGTTCTTTAATTAAGATCGTGTTTGAATTTTACAGAAATATGTGAATTTTTAAATAATTTGAGGACAAAAATTGTTGACCGTCCAAATTTACAGCGCTTCCTGAACTCAAAAAGATTAGTGACGCAAGCAGATGGATGCTAAGTAAGATAGAATTTGTATATTATTTCATATTTATTTGTTCATGTCTTCGGGACTTTTTATAAGTTTCAAAATTAATCTTTTAGAAATTATTTACAACATACTTTAAATTGCGTACTTTAATTGAGATAAATGTGAAAAGGGTTAGATCATTTTGCTTCGTTTAATAAGACGTGGGAATAAAACGTAATGCACGTAAAAAGCGAGTAATTGTGATGTATGTATATGTATGTGCAAGTATACATACATATAATTGCTAAAAAGCCGCATCACCGCAATGAAAATGGGCATTAATATTTCCTAATTCAATTTGCTCTGAAACATTTTAAACAACTATTAGTAGAAATTGGTAATCACATATTTCATGTGGATTATGCGATTGTGATTCCATTACCTTCGTAACTCGCTAGAATTTTGGAGATCAAGTGGTGTATATTCAGGATTATATTGCAGATAACAACTTAACTGTGAAAAAGGTGATGTGGTTTTTTAGCACTACTGTATAAGTGTGTATATATATAGGGATGTATCGAAAAAAATAGAAGTCAAGGGCTTCATGAATAAAGTTAGTTCTCGATGCAAGAACAACATCGGCACTAATAACACAGTTTTTGGAATGGGTTTAGAGGTACCACAAATCCCATAAACACGTATTTTTCGTTACTTTTTACAAAATAACGAAACAATATTACAGTATTTTTTTATCAACAGATTTTTCGCTGAAGTGTTGCCCACGTTACCCCGCAACAATATTATGTTATATATGCTCTCGCGGAAGCCGGTGTGCCTGCAGCTGGACGGCCAGCAGTTTGTGAGAGTGCGTGTGAATATGTGTCGCTCTTTCATTGCCATATATATCAGAGTAGTGAAGTTTTCGAAATGAAATAAAATAACTTTTATTTGTGTGAAACGTCGAAGCAATAGTGCTTGTTACAATGTGCTGGAATTTAACGTAAGTGCCTAGTGGAAACCAAAGCATGTGCCAAGTTTATATACCTTACACCAACACGACGCATAAATTTATGTAAGTAATGTTTCAATATAGACTTTGAACTTAGATTTAATTAATTTACTTGAAGTGCTCAATTTTATTATATGAATGGGTGGAAACCAGAACGATGAGTGACATTTTAAAAATTCTGAGCAAAACTGTGTTTATTTTAGGCTGTATTTTAGTGGAAATGTATTTTCGTGCTTTTAATGATGAAACAAAGCACCCCTACCTTACAGCAATATTTACATAAACGGATTTCTTAGAATTTATAAAATGTCACGTATACTGTTCTGGTTTTCACCCATTCATATAATAAAAATGTAAGCAATTCAAGTAAATTAATTAAAACTAAGTTTAAAGTCTATATTTTGAATTTTTGAAATTACATGTCCGTCATTCGATGGAGGTGCATCGTCCGGTCTGTTGAGGCACGAGCCTTTACTGCTGCCTGCATATTTTACTTTGTACTAGAATGAACCTTCTCAATCGGGTTATTTCCAACACTTTTACCATTGCTGCTTTTAACTTGTCACTAAATAAATGTATTGAAAAAATTGTAAAATGAAAAGGGGCGTGCTTAAATAAAAATATCTTCGCTGCTGCTGAACGAATAGATGTTTTCTATCTTCCTTCATCCAACTCACTGTTTAAATTACTCATCCGTATAATTTGTATATATTCTGCCACCATGCGGGGCGTACCTAATTATATTATTGATCTTTTGATGAATAAATTTGCGACTGTTGTAATAATTTACTCGTCGGTTATGTCGAAAATATTTTTACCTAGGTTAGGAATGATATGAAGCCTATACAAAGGTCTCGCAGGTGAAAATAATTCTTAAAATCAATAACATCAAACAAAAATACGTAAATATTAATAGCAGTGAGGAAAAAAGTAATTTAATGTCAAATCCATTTAATATATTTATAATTTTTTATCTGGATTCCGATCATTTTCTTACTTAATAGCAATAAGATACACTTCCACAATTAAACATAAAACAAAAACAAATTACCATTGGAAAAAATACACTAACATTTTCAAATGGTTGGTCTTGGATTTTTTTTAATGTCTTGCTGTCTTGTTATATGTTTTGGCATCTGCTGGACCTGCAATTAATTAGACTTCTTTTGCGGTTTACTTAACTGTCTTATTAGGAGAGAAAGGATTTCTAAATAAATACATATTTACAATTGAACCAAATATATTTTATTGTTCTACGAAACTACATAATTTCTATAAAGAATATATTTTACAATACATTAATGTTTCACAATTTGTAGTTAAAAATGTTTCTTTTTTTCGATTTCGTTTAATATAAGTATATAACATAAAGCTCAGAATTTCGTTAACTTTCCTCAACGATAACTTTTAAACATATCCTAAATGTCTTGATCGGTTTTTCTTTCAGAACAATGAGTTTCTAACTCAATTCAACATGAACAAATTGTAAAGAACCTGAAATAATTGCATTTTCTAGTTTGTAATAAAACAAGCACTCTCCGGTTGTGGTTGTGCAGCCATATTCGACAGGTAGAATAACTCCGCGGCTGAAAGGAGCAAGACACGGCCTCTAGCACGAAGGACAAGGCAGGTGGTGGGAGCATGAACAAAACGCGTGCGTAACTAAATAGTATACTTTTACTTTTAGCGACATCAAGCGATTGATCAACTTTTCACGACAGTTTTCGGTCATTGGTTACAAGTTTGTACGTCACGTACGTATATGCGCGTCGATGTCGCTGGAAGTAGAGGAGGACAATTTAACTGACGGCGTTTTTGAACCTACCTCCACAATGCCCACAGCACCAAAGTTGAGTCTCTTCGCAGTGAGATGTAGTGTTACGGACTGTAGGTTTATCCTTGAATCACCGATGGAGTTACAGAAATCTTCCGCGTGTCAATAACCCCAATCTACATTCACTGTGCGGCCAACACCGTGGGATCACAAGATCACAGGCGCTCAGAAAACTCGTACAATCAGAAAACACACTGGTCCAGCACAATTTACGGACTAGCACCCGGGTACCGACCTTCCTGCGACGGCTAGGCCGACGCTTTCGGTCATACACTCTGAGTTAAACACTAAACACATATAAAGGTACAGTTCTATTAATTACTACTATAAATACATCAAAAGTATAACTATCAACCACTTTGAACTAGATTTTAAAATTTAAACAATACAACTGAAAATAAAATATTATTTTGTAACCTGTGTTACTGTACAGTATCTTCGACATAAACGTTCCTGCTTCACTACAACATTCAAAGCAGTAAGGCCTAAACATCAGGTTCCCAAAGTTCAAAACAGAACATTGTTTTCCAGAGAATCAACATCAAATGAAGTGTCTGAGTTCAACATCAACCGGTACCTCTGTCAGCTCAGCTAACATTTCTCTACAAACTAAAGAATCAATGCTTTAATGCATGTTACTCACGGGGAATTCCCGAGGGTCCGCTTTGTTCTCTGTGAGAAGTGGCATGATACCGCTGCCAGTGAGTGATCAACGCGGACTTGAGGAAGAAGCGGCAGGAGCACGCGTCGCAGCCGAACGGCCGCTCTCCCGTGTGGAACCTACGCTTGTGGTACAAAAGGATGCTGGAATTAATGAAAGCTCTTCCGCACACGTCGCATGGATACGGGCGTTCCCCCGTGTGCGTCCGCATGTGGACGTTAAGGTTGCTTGAATGAGCATATGCCTTCCCACACAAGTCGCATTTAAACGGCCGCTCCCCTGTGTGCAGGCGCATGTGAACGGGTATGGAGCTCGACTGCGAAAACGTTTTCCCGCAGACATCGCATGTACATGACCGCCGTTTCGTGTCCGAGCACTTTCGAGAAATGGCAGCGTATTTTTTAGCCAAAGTCTTCCCATACGTACCGAGTGAAGTGGGGCGATCTTCCACGTGCTTCTGCTTGTGAACGGAGAAGGAACCTAAGCGGGCGAAGGCCTTCCCACACACATCGCATTGATAAGGGCGCTCTCCCGTGTGCAAGCGCTTATGAGCCGTGAGGGAGCCCGACTGGGTGAAACCCTTCCCACACACTTCGCATACATAAGGGCGTTCTCCTGTGTGCGTACGCATGTGATTGAGAAGGATGGCCGACTTGGTGAAAATCTTCCCACACAAATCGCACAAATACGTATTTTCTCCCTTGTGCTTGTCCTTCTGAGTGGTGAGAGTAGCTACCTTAGGAAGGGCCTTTTTGGAGACGACGGACGAGTACGACTTCTCTCGCTTGTGCTTGCGCTTGTGAATGGTGAGAGCAGCTACCTTAGTAAAAGCCTTTTCGCACACGTTGCACGAGTAAGATTTCCCTTTCGTGTGCCAGCGCCTATGAACGGCGACAGCAGCTGGGGTAGTAAAAACCTTTCCGCACACGTCACACGAAAAACGACGTGTGTCAGCGTCCTTGCTGCCCCTCTTGTGCCAGCGCTTGTGCAGGCCGACAGCAGCTGCCGTGGTAAAGAGCTTTCCGCACACATCACATGCGTAAGGTCGTTTTATCTTGTGCCTGCGCTTGTGGAGGGACAGGGCACATGCCTTGGTGAAACTCTTTCCGCACACGTCACACGAATGAGGGCAGTCTTCCGCGAGCTGGGGCCGGTGGGCGTCGAGGTCGCCGTCCTCCAGGAGCGAGTCGACGCGGAGGAACGGCTGCGGTCCCGAGCGCAGACGCCGCTCGTCGCACGGCGTGAAGGTGCCGTCGGACTTGCGTCTAAGGCGCACGTGGAGGCGCGGCTCGGCAGCTGTCGTGGGCTGGTCCTCGGGCTGCTCCGCTCCCTCCGCGCCTGCGCAGTCCCACCAAGCCAAGCCACTCAGCACATCGCCTCACCACAACGCTCTCATTGGCAACAGAACAGTTGGAGATACGTTAAGTGACCAGGAGGAACAGACAATCCTATGCCAGAGAGTGGGAACAGTCGCGCTTTGCAGTGTCCAAAAGCAGAGTTAAGGGAAACACCCTTCCAATAGCTCGGGACCCTCTTTACTACCCTCGCAAAATGGTACTGTGAGTATTTGTGGGGGTGGGGTGTGTGTGAATGAAGTGTGTAAAATAGTCTGGAGGAAAGCAAGTGATGTTTTGAGACTCGTTTACGTAATTATGGTGTCTACTAAAATTCGATCTTCAGATTAAAGGAGCGAGAATTGCGCGATCTGACGCCGAAATGGGTTTCAAAACCTTCCCTGTGTAACGAAGCTTGTCAGTGTAGCCGAGCGTATTACGCCCGCACACCCGCGAACCTGACATCGAACTTGTGTCCGCATTAAATTCACACGCCTACTTAAAATCAAAATCACAAATTTTACTCCGATGTTTTGATCGATGAAACATTACGAAATCGATTTTCTGCAGCATACATTTTTTTGGCGCAGCATTACATTAACTTTCCTTATATTACATATATTACTCAGTATATACGTATGTACACGAGATAGCAAAAATTGGTGGAATTATTTAGGAACAAATCGATACAATATTTCAGTTATTTCAGCTGGGGGAAATGCTTTCATTTTGTCAATATGTCAAAAAGTGTCCCTTTAAAAACAGTCAACGAAATTGTGTGAATTTTTAATTTGTGTATTCAAATATATCGCCGCTGAGATATTTTTGTTCTTGAAGTTCATTTAAAATCTTCCAGCGACAGTTTTGGGTAAAATTAATTTTTTTATATAATCAGCTGAAGGCCTTTGGTTGCATTACCTCTGTGTATTTGATGAGTGTTTTGAAGAAGAGGAGCGCGCGACAATAACATGAGGCTCGACGGGAGACGCGACGAAAAAAACAACGCACAGATACAGCATTTTCGAGGAAGTGTTTGTTTATAAGATGTGTCAATTATAAGAGATCAAAACGGATCGCAGGGAAAAGGGTGAAAAATTAAAAGTGGTAAAAGAAATGAAAACTTTTCGAGAACGAACAAGAAAAACATCCCAAAACGGAGTTGGTCGTGTGAATGAATTTTGCAGAACAACAGGCATCAGCAGACGTTCCTTCCATAGAATGAAAAAGGAAAACGAGAATGGAGAAATACCGACATCGAGAAAAATAACGTTAATTCGACTGAAGTATAGGGTCAGTAGGAAAATGAAGTACAAGATTTTGTACATACGGTACGTTTCAAATTCCATGCGTTTCTATTTTTAAAATGTTCCTGGATCAATCGTATGTAACGAAAGATGATAATGATAAACATTTACCAAATTTTGTTACA